GTTCATGTTGCCATACCACATCAGCACAGAGAAGTAATCGTCAATTCAAATCCAATAGTAGAAGAGGTAGTAAGGGAAATAGAAATAATCGGAGAGGTTAGGATTAGAAAATACTATTCAAGAAGTATGATTCAGTGAGAAAAGTTTAGAAAGTCAAAACTAGAAGTGTTGAAGAATCCAGAAGATTAGGATTTGAGAGAACACAAAGAATAAATGCACTGGCGCCATTGCGAACGATTCTGAGCCATGTCATTCAAGGTCTCTAACCATCGGTTATTATCATCTCGCGGACCCCAACCAGGTAGTCGACAATTACCGACATGGCTCAGTCCACTAGTCAATGACTTCATGGATTTCTGCCATGTTTTGGTCTGGCCGCCCCTAACTTTCTTCCAACCTATTCCCACAATACAAAACAAGGCTCGACGAGGCAGTCGGTGGTTGGGCATACGCAACACATGTCCCAACCACCTCAACTGGTGAAGTTTCAATACTTCATCGATTGATCTGCCATTCTTACCTAGCACCCGATTCCTAATAACAGCGTTGCTCACTCGGGTGTCCCACGATATACGAGCAATGCTTCGAAGACACCTATGATCGAAAACCAGTAACCTACGAATATCTTCTACTCTCACTGGCCATGTTTCACAGCCATAAAGTAAGACGGAGCGAACTACTGCACAGTACACTCGTCCTTTAGTCAGCAAACGGATATCTCGCCTACGCCATAAGTGACGCAGGTTGGCAAAAGCCAATCGAGCCTTCTGTATCCGTGCTGAGATTTCGTCAGTCACCAGGCCATCGGCACTGATGAGACTCCCAAGATAAGTGAAGCTGTCTACACGTTCGACTACTTCACTCCCTATCACTAGTTCAGGTGCCGATGCAACCCAGTCTTGAAGCAACATTTTGCATTTCGAGGGGGAAAACCGCATCCCGAACATGCTCGCATTGTTGCTTAGGGTAGTCAGAAGACTCTGCATTTTGTCAGCGTCTTCACCAAGTAGGACTATGTCATCGGCATATTCTAAGTCAATAAGCGAGCCACCTGGTAGAAGGTCTACTCCTGAAAATTCAGACGAGGATAAAGTTATTTCTAGGAGCATGTCTATGATAAAATTAAACAAGAATGGAGAAAGTGGACATCCCTGACGGACACCACTTGATGTAGAGAATTCCGGTGACAGTTCGCCATAAGCCCTCACCCGACCAGTGGTGTTCGAGTAAAGAGCTTGTATAAGGTTAATGTACTTCAGTGGTACACCTTTCAATGACAGACACTGCCACAGAACCTTACGATCAACAGAGTCAAATGCCGCCTTAAGGTCTAGGAAAACAACCATTGCAGGACGCCTAAATGTGTGTCTGTATTCCAGGACCTGTCTGAGTGTGAAGATGTGGTCTATACAGCCACGTCCAGGTCGAAAACCAGCCTGGTTTTCTCGAGTCTGCTCTTCACGAGCTTTCGTTAAGCGTCGAAGTATTATTGAGGCCAATATTTTAAATACTATATTAGTTAGACTTATTCCCCTGTGATTGTCACAAGAAGACTTCTGTCCTTTCTTATAGATTGGGACAATCAGTGATTGAGACCAGTCGGATGGGATTACGTCCAGTTCCCAGATTCTACCTAAGATCTCAGTCAATCTAGCTGCTAAAACTGGACCACCATCCTTAAATATCTCAGGGGTCAGTCTATCAGGACCTGCAGCTCGTCCTCGTTTCAGATTTCCTAACGCTTTCTCAACGTCATTAAGACTAGGGGGACTTAGGTCGATTTGCCATTCAGGATGACTGGAGATCGTGGGTAACCGAAGAGTGGCTCGTGGCCAGTTGAACTGATCCCTAAAGTGTTCTGCCCATCGATCCAGTCTCCTGGATTGAGAATGGATAATAAGACCATCCTTTTCCGAGATAGTCTCACTCACATTCGGGTTCTTAATACCGGTTTCGTTAATAAGGCGGAAAAGTTGTCTAGTGTTGCCTATCGCCGCTGCCTTTTCCATCGCTTTTGCTTTCGCCACCCACCACTGTTCGCGGTCGTTACGCAGACTTTTTATAACTCTGCGCCTAAGCTGACTACGCTCTTCATCATGTTCAGAGTCAGGTGGGATGCGTTTTCGAGCATCCATCAGTTCGGTGGATGCGACTGAGATCCACGGCTTCATCCTAGCCTCATGGTTTACCTTCCTAGCAGATATCACTGCTGTTTCCACAGCCTTTTTGATATCATACCAACCTGCTTCTGGATGGGAATCGCTTGCATGGTTGCTTAACTCTCTCCCTAGTTGCTCCTGAAATATTTTCTTGGTTTGATTATCATTAAGTAAAACCCTGAGAGGCTTTCTTACGGTGTCTTTCCTACGTCCAGTAAGCCTTAAACAGATACGAGCTCGCACTAGAGCATGATCTGAATCCAAACATGTGCTCCAGAACGAGCGACAGTCCTCTATCGAACCCCTCCATCGGTGGCTGATGGCGATGTGATCTAGTTGAGTCCAACGTTGAGACGACTTTGGAGGTCGCCAGGTCAACAGATGCTTTTCCTTATGCCTAAAGTTGGTGTTCGCTAAGAATAGGCGGTTATCTGAGCATAGTTGCAACAGACGGTCGCCATTGTCTGTTCTCTCAGTCGCTATACCATAACACCCACCAAGATGTCTTTCCTTTTCACCTAGTCTACCTACTTGAGCATTAAAGTCACCAGCCATTATCACTATGTCAGAGCGCCTAGCTTTTTGGAGAAGGTCCGAAAGCTTTCTGTAAAACTCATCTTTAACCTCGTCTGCACTGCAGTCAGTGGGGGCATAGGCAGATATGACGAAGAGGCAACGGCGAGTGTCCCTATCCTTACGAGTCCTTACTGTCCCGTTTAGTCGGACAGCGCACAAACGACTATCTACTGGGATCCAGTCTAGGAGAGATAATTCTGCCCTGGGACTCAACGCTATGCCTACGCCAGCAAGACCCCGGGAAGCAGCGTTAGGGCTACCGGATACCCGGAGAGTAAATCGAGCTGCTACTTCGTTTTGACAAGGTGGAATCAGGTTAATGACTTTACTAGGATCCTGTATGCGCGTTTCCGAGACGCAGCATACATCGATGGCACGAGTTTCTAAAGTCCTAGCTAAGGAAGCCTGTTGCCCTATTTGACACAATGTCCGTACATTAAAAGCTCCAATATGTAGTCTAGAACGGGGTTTCAAGAGACCGGGAACGACGTTTCGCGAACTCGTATCGTCTGCATTAGCTGTGCATTGTGATGAATGAATGTGAGAAGAGTTAGTCGTGGAGATAAGAGAGGTACAAGGGGGTGTAGGAAGGATTTGATTTTGACCAATTTGGTCTCGCGTGCTGTTACGGGTATGAGGGCGGTTGTCACTTCCCGGCTGCCCACACCGTGGAAGGTTGTTTCTTGAGGAACCTGAAAAGGAAGATAGATTAGTGTTGGCGCGTGACCGCAGAGCCCAAGGGACAACTGCTTCAGGCCGGTCACGCACGGCCTTTTTATGAAATGTTTTTTGCGGATTAGCTCCGTTCTTAAAGGCCCTTAGTGGGCACCCTTACCCAAGGAGACGGAAATCCGTGAGCTAGGGGAGGTGTGACATTTTTAGGGCCGACCTTTTCTAACCCTTCCTTCCTTGTGAGAAGGCAGCATCGCTGCAGATGCTGGTTTTTCAAAGGAAACACCTTACTGCTGTCACACCTCTCTGCAGTCAGCAGTACGACTTCGCCCTCAGACCTTGGGTAGCTGCTTTTAGTCTCATCGTTCTCCAATCGACCTGCCTGGCATGGTAGAAACTTGAGGAACATATGTTCCAGCCAGTATAGCTCGGTTGGGTCATCACGATAGGCAAGCCCGACCACCACGTCAAGGTAGCAGCTACGGTCGGGTACACTGTATGAACAGTCAATCATGAAAACAGAGGCACAGATTACTACAAAAATTATGATGTAAAGAACTAAAAAGTAAGTAAATAATCTAGCTTATTAGCATATGACGTAAGGATTTTCATTCAGACATACAGAAAAACAACTTTGACGAACAACTATTTCTTTTCCGCTAGCTCTTCCTCATTACAAATCGATACTGATATCAAGTCTGGCATGTGACTACGAAAATCAATACCAATTAAATGATGGTGAGTAGATTGACAATGTAGTAACAAAACAAAGTGCGATCTGATAATTATTAAGCGTTAAACCATGATGAAATAATTGAAAAGGAATTTCGTTTCTAGCCCAAGTGATCTTTTTGACACATAATCGCAAGAAAGCTTACTTTAAATTCTAGTAGTGCCGCAGAATATAATCATTTAGATGTATAATTATATTAAACCACTTCGTAGAAATAAGCACGAATTTACCAATCACGTGTTTTGATATTCATAAACTGATTCCAGAGGAATAGTGAACATAACTGCTTAAATTTTCTTATTTGTAATCACCACAATAACAAAATCAAACCTATTCAGTTGAATGTCTTCTATTACATCTGATTTGACAAACAATTTCAATGATACGATTATCATAATGCAATAACACAACATACTTTGTAGTAATCAATACGATGTTACTCAGCTTAGCAACTACACTGTTGGGAATTGTTCGATCAGTAATAAACACTCAAACATCAGCCGACTTATTTTTTAAAGGACATTAATAATCTTAATAGCTCATTGAGAAAAGTTCTAAATGTAGTGCTAAACAGTAGACTTTCCCATTACTAATCCAATAGATGTTGAGGATGCAAAACCTCATTTCAACAACTGTTAACCACCTTCAACACTTAGTATATTTTATGAATACAACCATTGGAAAAGCAGACGATATGCTTCCCAACATACTGTTGCAATGTATCGAACAACAAGTTTTGAGTGGACCTAAGTTTCTAGCCAGTTACTCTGAAGTCTACATTTTGAGGAAAACAGTTTCGTAATTGTTTGGACAACATTTTACAAACATGTATATTTACAAGTAACAATGTGAAAAGTTACCTGAAATAACGCCTAACAAATAAACTAATCCAACTCGCCAAAATTTGTGAACTAATTCAAGTAGAAGACCAAGTATAATTTGTACTGAACAATTGAAAACTAGGTGCTTATAACCGTAATGAATAAACATATAGGTTAAAAATCTCCATACTTCATGACGTTTAGTTGGGTTATAAATAAGTACGCTATCAACTGGAAAGCCGGATGAAAATGTAACAATATTGGAGGAGTCATGTTTGTTGCTATAAGTAACAACGTAGTAGATAAAAACTGCAATCTAAAGCAACAAAAAACACCAAAAGTATGAGTGGTTATTTTGTTACTTGTAAAATATGAGGTTACTATTACTAAAATGCCCATATTTTTAAAACTTAGGTTATGTTAAACATGAGAACTAAAATAAATTATTCAAAGAATAACTGATATTTTTAAACTAGGAGATCAAAAATAAGAAAGATCATAATCACTTAAATTTATAACGCGAGTGAGGCGATGCAAAGTATGGTGAATTTATGGTAGCCGAAAAATAACCCACTATTTAGCAAATCCTAACATAATTTATTCTCAAACTACAGGTCAATATTCAATCAGTCAGTCAGTTACAACGTAGAAGTTCGTACGTACCGCACATTAGTTCATGTTGCCACACCGCATTGGCACAGAGAAGGAATTATCAATTCAAATCCCATAGTAGAGATAGTAGAAGTATTAGCAGTAATCGGAGAGATTGGGGTTCGAAGATATTATTCAAAAAGTATAACTCAGTGAAATAAATTTAGAGAGAGAAAGATGGAGGTGACGACGATTTCAGAAGATCAAAATTTGAGAGAACACAAAGAGTGGATGCACCTGTGTCATTGCAAACGATTTTGGGCCACGACATTCAAGGTCTCTAACCATCTGTTAGTATCGTCTTGCGGACGCCAAACAGGTAGCCTACATCTACCAACATGACTCAATCTAGTTGTCAGTGACTTGATGGATTTGTGTCATGTTTTGGTTTGACCGCCTCTAGCTTTCTTCCAGCCTACTCTTACAACACAAAACATATCTCGTCGAAGCAATCAGTGGTTGAGCATACATAACACATTTCACAACCACCACAGGTCAATATTAGCTGATCATGAAGTACGTATGCAAGGGTGACCCCAAAAGTATTACATGCTGTGAATTACGGGTAGGTGAGAGAAACATCAGGTGGAGCTGTTTCTCATAAATTGGCGATCAACATAACCAATTTTCTCAAAAAAGTGATAATGAGAATGTAACTTAAAAAATGTTGAGAGGCGCCTGGTAGCAACAGATTCAGCAAACTTCAGAAAACTAGGGCTTGGCTGTTTGTTAAACTACCTTGGAAGATTGTAAGGTATCAACTTTATGTCCTGTATCCAAGACATTTCTAGTGACTGTATTGTTTAAAGTAGATATTTTTATGTTTGGCTAATGTAGCTGCTTTGGCAGCTGCAAGAAAAGTGTTCCCCTTTCTTGCTATTGTTACACAACAGAGGACAAGACGGAACGGTTTGAGATTCAGTTTATAGGACAGGTACTAGGAATGGTCTTTACCTGAATTTCTGTAGCTTTTGCTCAATCAGCTACAAGAAAGCTTTGATCCAACACTATTTTATTCAGTAGGAAGGAAATGTATCTTTGAAAAACTGAAGAATCGATAAACGCTGACAAATATCGAAAAGACAACTACTACCCACAGAAATTTATTGTCAAATTTAAAAATACACGGAAAACTAGTTGGAAATTATTACAGTAAACAAGAAAACAATATTTTTAAATCTCAACTTCACAGATAATGTTGCAAGCACAGTCAATAGGAGGCTTAAGAATACATTACCCAGGACTTACCCGTGAGTAAGACTGTTGATACTGTGTAAAGCAGCAGGTTTAATAACCCAGTCAGAGGTCGATAAGCAACCCTTTCATGTCAACACCAATTGAATCTATAAATTTAAGTGTACCAGACAAAGCAGCTTCATTGACCGAACAGAAAGTGCGTGTCTTAGATTTTTTGAACATTTCCCTAAACGCCTTCAAACATAAAGATCTACGTACAGTTATTGTACTGCTTACACATAGTGAGAAAGATCACACACAAAAGCTAAGAATACACTATTTTTCATGTAACTTAGACCCGATTCAAAACTCTAGAGGTCCATTTCCTGGTTTAATGTTGCCTTCGTATGACTATATTTGAGAATATATCGTTATTAATATTAGTATTTTCAAAGCGGAAGGTGCTGACACTGTTTAACGAACAACGAAGTAGTTTAAAAATCCATAAACAAGAATCAAGTCATGTAGAACTACATATAATTATTCGGGAAATGAATTACCTCAGCAACAGTTATCAAAGGAATAAATAAAGGAGGAGGGCGACAGTCATATGCTTGTATATAATTATCAATATCTGCTTCACTTGAAATACGTGCGTTGGAAATATCAAAGCCAGAATCAATTGCAACAGTTTGTTGATGTTGTCGTCCGCAATCTGGCGCTACTGCTAACACAGCTCGATTAAGAATGCGTTTGTGAATACGCAATCTTCGGAGAGTTTTTTCATCTTCGGACAGAACCTGTTCAAATTCAAATCGTAACATAGTACAACTCAGCACACAAAACGACCCATAAAAGCATGATAATTCAGTTGTTATTTTGTTACATTACCTAGTGCGATTTCTTAACACTGTCCTATAGCTGCCTTCTATAATAAACACAACTACTACTCAAGAACAATGCTTACAGAAAAATATATGGACAAGATCTAATGTTTCTTACATGAGGTATTATAAAGCGTCATATGATTCGAATATCAAGTAGGACATAAAGGAAATATACAGCTGTGTGCACAGACCATACTACGGATCAACTCAGTTGAGATTTCGTAACAAACCTAATGCGATACTTTCCATGAAGTCAAAATTCATATTTGACCGGAAGAAGCATTATTCTGAACGCTAAAGTAACTGCGCAAACATACTACAAAAGTCAAACTCCATGTTAGTCTATTCCAAATACTCAGTCTGAAATCGTACACATCCGGAACAATTGCATTCACTGGAAGTCAGGACTTCGCCCAACAAAAGCAAACAACTATTCCGACATACTTACACGACCTATACTGCTGTATAAAATTATAATATATCGTGACTTGTGTTTCCAAGAGTAACAATTTGAAATTTGTGCGTCAAACTGCCTCCCAACTAATCCGTGGGCTAACTACAAGCAACCATGATGATGGCAACAACGATAACTGAGTGATTTTCCCAGAGTCGAACTGCACCCATACAACTAAGAGCTAGGTACACACTATATGCACCCAACCAAGGGTGATTAGCAGTCATGCCACCAAACAGATCGTCAGTCAAATTAACAGACGACATCACTAAACAATCGTCCGACCGCACCGAACAGAAACCAATTATTCTATGCCAATAGTTTGCTACACATGATTTTCCCTAGAATACTGTGCATTACATCAGATAACGCACTGACAACATACCAATCTATTACCTTAGATGTGAGAAATACTTACCTGTTTTAGGAACTCATCATATGTAATTAGCTGGTTTCCATCTGTATCTGCTGAGTCCACAATATTGTGAATTTTTGATTCTGGTAAATGAGACTTCCCGAGGTATTGTTTAAGATCCGGTGATGGGATACCAACTTGAATATCATACTAATCACTCACTAAAACAGTTGAATGTGATTTACCTGATCAAAAGTAGATTTGAAGTGCTACAAAAAATCTAATATACATACGAAAATGAACATACTTTATCCAAATAACTTCGGAGATTTCTGGACCGCTCACTTGACATATGTAGGAGAGCGACTTTATGTTATGCGCTTCCGGTCAACAGAAGTTATTGCCGCATCCACAAGGACAACATTCAATATCTTTTTCACGAGCTAGTATAAACAAATTGGTTTCTTGTTCTTTCGATACGGTCCCAGATGTTTAGAAGTGTCCAATGAATCGGGGTCTATTCAGTCGACTGTCTAATTCTAGTCAGTTTGCAGTGGTTTGTGAGTTTGTATGTCCCGTGATTTGAATGAATACGTTTATTTCAGAGAAATTGTGTTTCCTTATACCAACAGCTATCACATTACCAGAGCGGAGATCATTTAGTTGCGATTCGGAGAGTAATAAGGAGATATTTTTAATGCTAATAAGAATATTATTACAGGACTGAGTAAGTAAATGGATAATTTATTTTATTTATTGGTAGTGAAGGTTGTGCTAGAGGACCGAAGTGTAAGCAAGGGAGCGGAAACAAAGATAATAGGCGAGCTAGACTAAGTTAATGATTTGAGGAGATGGCAGTAATAAGGACTAGCAAGTTTCAAGGGACGAATCAGGGGAAATAATCCCAAATGCTGGAGTCTATCCTAGTAGGTTTTATTTTCCAACCCATCACCAATTTCACTGCTCGTATCTGCATTCGATACAAGAGATTCATGTATATTTGAGGGAGAGCGGGTATGAAGACATTGTGAACTCCAAGGAGTGGACGTGCATATCTCTTAAACAACATCAAGAATAATTGTATTGTGATAGCACCAAGTTGTCTGAGCATAAATTCAAGAGTTGCGTTGGCCCTGGATGCGTCAAGCTGGTGTGAAGGCTTCAAGCGCTTATCAAGCCGAGATCAGGCTCTGAGGAGACATTACGGCGCTGACTTCCGTAAATCGTTTGCATCATTTGGGGCAGAATGAAAATGACGTGACGTTTTAGTAGTTTTAGTTTTAAACCGTTTTCACTACACTGAAGCCGGAAACAGAAATCAGGTTCGAAAAACTTAATCTAAAACCACAAACCTACCACTGCCAACTCAGTTATCTCTAGAGTAATGGAGAAAGTGATAAAAGGTCATTTATCAAATCATTTACGGGGAGAAGGTCTTATCGACCGCTCAAAACATAGCTTCATGAGAACTAGGTCATGCACTACATGTCTAATAGTTTTCTTTGATGCAGTTACCAGCATACGCCATCAAAAGCGGTAAGTGGCTGTGTTCTATTATGATATCAATAAGGCTTTCGATAAGGTACAACACAGTCGCCTAATCAACGAACTTCATTACGGCGGGATTACTGACTGCATTGTGCAAATAATTAGATATATTCTAACGAATATATGCCAAATTAAAGAAATTAACTCCACAACATCTACACAGCCTATAACCAGCGGCGTTGTGCATGGCGGTGTCTTGAGTCTACTGCTTTGCTTACTCCAAATCAACAGCATATGCAGTTGCTTCAATGCAAGCGAAACCTTCTTCTACGCTAATGACCTAAAATAATCTATAGAACTAATAAATGAATTCACTGCCCAAAGAAAAGTAATTTTACTTTTTAAGTACTGAAAAACATCTCACTTATTGACTTTTCCACTCGATGTTATTAACTTGGAATTCAACCATTGCGAAAAAGCAGACTTAAATCCAATCTTATCCTCTAATTCAAGCTTCTGGATAAACTGACACCCTAATCTTGTAGTGTAGCTTAACAATTAGCTTAACAACAATAAAGAGGAAGGCCGGAGTTTCTGACTGGCAGACATGGATAAGGAGGGCGATGAACTTAATCTCCATGTTTTTGAGGCAGAACATGTAGCTTTCTTCCTGCTGTTTTGATGGAGAAGTTTCTGTTATCTGCTTGTTACTCCTGAGACTCATGTTTACCATAATATGATGGGATCAATATTCTTCCTAGACAACCAGTAACATGCCTACACAGACACTTGCAGTATGACTTAGATTTTGGTATTTCAGTAAAAAAGATAGGGGATAAACAATATAATTACCAATGTTTTTCATAAACTTTACTCTTCTTGTTTAACTTTCAACTTCAATGTAAAGACACCTAGCTTCTTACGTCAACCTCTCTTCTATCCACCTCGACACACCACACAACGTATTTGGCCTAATTGTTATACCCCTTTTCAACAGAAGATTTTTGATTCACGGTAAAAATTAGTCGCTGTTTCTGAATATGCAAAGAAATAGTTTTTTGTTCCACCACAATTGGTTGTTGTTTCTTAAGCAAACCAGCTTTCATTTATTTGTGTTAAAGCATCTTCATCAAAGACAATAAATCTAGTGATGAAAGTACATTTTATCGAATACCTGGAGCGACTTGTCAAGCATTAAGGAACCTCTGTTCATTCTGAAAAACATTAATGGTATCAGTCTATGAAGTAACTTTTAGATGAAAATTATTATTATACCAGATAATAGATGAATACAGGTACGTTAACGTACTAGTAGTCAGGCAAGCGTTACAAGACAGAGTTATCACCCCGCAGAGACTTCTTCACCTACTGAAACCCGCTCTAACACGACATTTCAGGGCTATTTATCAAAAATTTCTGTAAACTTTTCAGTTATCTACAAGGGAGGGTCAAAGACCATTTATCTGCGCGCGAACTGTGAAACTGGTAACATTTTTCACGTGGTATAGTGTTTTTCGGAAATTTATCATTTGTAGGGCATTGTAAATGGATTTCTACAGTGGCCGTTCCAATGGGTTACAATAGGTGCACTCCTGTACTCGTTTCTCCCAATCCCAGGTCCAAACAAATCAAAAAACGACAAACATTCTAGGAGAAAGCGGTCTTATTTAATAAAGACATGGAAATACAAAGCATTACCTGGAATTAATGCTCCTTCCAGGATACAATTACTCCGAAGAGTATCAGAAAGAACGATAGATAAGTGACATTAAGTCCAGCGGCTACTATATCAATCCAAATATGGCTGTAGCCATATTAAAGGTCAAATTTAAACAACATATATACAATCAGAAGCGAACACAAAAACTTCAATATAAGTACAAAATTTAGAAATAATAACAATATACAATGATAAAATCTCAAATTGGAATCAAATAAATTACCAAAAATGTCAACAGAAAAAGTCCGTCATGTCATAACAAAAATATGTAAACATGGAGGGATTTTCCAAAACACAAAACATTCAAAAAGGATTCTACACTGATTTAGTAGAATTTATCTATTGTACCCGGTGCACTTTGCTTCTAGAAAGCAAACCCTTTAAGTTTTTAATCAGTTAATACATACTTGTCGTTTGATAACGTTTTTAACTTTTGAATACACTTTCTGAGGCCTACTTATTGACTTACAGTGACTCTTACACTTCATAACTGAACCTTTTATCTTAAAAATCCGCCATTGATTTTCAGTATTAACACAGTTAATACACAAAAAGTTATACCCTTAGATATTTGAGTGACTTAGACAAGCAATTATCCCACCCAATTTTCCATTATGGCAAGTAATTCGAGTAAAAGAGAAATGTCTCCAACTTTTAAACCACCCAAAAGATCAAAATCTGCAAACCCTATGCCAGATGAATCTTCACTAAGTATTCCAATAGTGGAACTCATAGATATAAGAGATACTACACCCAAGTATCCCGAAATGTCTACACAGAAAAAACTTCAGCATAATCTTGTAAAGCCAAAATCTGGAAATTCACATACCAAGGAGTTGAATGCTCCATCCGAAACCGTTAATAGTAGTAATAACCATGGCAGCGGGATACGACAGGTACAAAACTCACTTGCCTAAATTAGCCATAAGCTTAACATGTTAGCACCCCTCATGCACTTATGGGCCACGAATAATGATAGGAACCTAGAAGAATTAGCCAGAGCGGAATATATCCTAGATTTTGTAGCTGAGGAAGTTACGAAAAGAATAATGTCTTCCTGCAATGCGATTGCATATAACCTCCTCGACCGCACATCCTTGACTTCGCTAAAGGATACCAGTCTAAAAGCGTGTGATATGGCAAAAGTCAGTTGTCACGTCACTCCCCTCAGAAAAAAATCAGACAAATCAACTTGCCCTCTCCTTTTCGAATTCGGTTGCTGCAAAGACTCAAAACAATTTATCCGTTTGAGCAAAAATATTAGCTCATCAACCTTATACAAAGAAGTAAAGGTTACCCGGGATCTAACGCCTTTTCAACGTCGTGTCAAAACAAGAGAGGCGACTAGATCACATAACGGTGTTACAGCAGAAAATCTACAGAAAACAACCCTCAGTGTCATGAAAGTAAATAAACAAATAAACCACGATGTAGATCTTGATAAGCCTGTGGAGTGTAAACCTTCTAACAAAGTACGGATCCTCTCCGCCACCAAGAAATCGAACGACACTTACATTCCTAATCCCAGCTGTTCGAACGTTAACTTGACTGTATATGTCCCAGCTAAAACTAATAAAATTAAGAATCAATCCCGAAAATATATTGCACGAGAGAATACGATAGAAACTGACGTGTTTTTGAAAAACACGTTCAGAGGACCAAAACATTCTCCGTCTCTAACTAAAAAGAGTGAACTGATTAAATCTTGGGTCTAAGTAAAAAAATAGGTAGGATTCAAACCCGATTGCCACCGAATTTCCCAGCTACGATGAACAGGTTCTCTCCTTTAATGTCATGTGATGTGCCCCTTGTTACGGGAGAAACGAAGACATTTTGCTGATCAAAACCTTCATGTATAAATATCATTAATTTCACTGTTTTGGGGTACATTTGTTTTACTTAACTTGTGAACTTGTTTGAATTATTATTTGCGGACATTTTGGACTCCCGTTTCTCTTTGTTGTTCGTTTGCAGTTTTTTGCTCCAAGAGCTAATAAATTAGAAGAAAGACATTGGTCGTCTATTTGTAATACAGTATTTTGGTCGAATTTGTGATTTGGAATAAACTTTGGTATCTACTTTGGAGTTTCGTTCTTGGCTTAAACATTTGGGGACTGTGAATTACAAATAGCTCGACAACCGTG